TGCCATGGAATTGCACTCAAAGAATCTAGGAACAACTTTGAAGATAGATGTTGAAACTGAACCCAACTTGTGTTTTGAAACAAGGATCTTCAAATGTGTGTGTGTGTTTATGTGTGTATATATATATATATATATGTATGTATATATATATATATATATATATATATATATATATATATATATATATATATATATATATATATATGCTTAGGTCCATTGAATAAGGGATTTAAAAAAGGCTTGAAGGATTTTCTTGGATTTGAAGGTACATTTTTGAAGGGTCCCTTTCCTGGATAGATCCTCACTGCAGTTGGCCTTGATTCGAACACTAGCATTTACCCAGTTGCATATGCCATTGTAAAAACTGGAAATATTACCTGTTGGACATGGTTTTTGGAACACATAGGTGATGATTTAGATTTGAATTCTTCATCTAACTTCACTTTCATTTCAGATCGATAAAAGGTACCCTCTAATTTCAACAAACTTTACTTTTTTTTTATTTCATTTACTAACTTATTTTAATTTAGAAAAGCTATTTCCATCAGATGAACAAAGGTTCTATTTAAGACATGTGTATGGCAACATGAAATTGAAACACAAAGGAGATGAATTGAGGGAAGTAGTATGGTGTTGTGGAAAAGTATATAGCATACCAAAATTTAATAGGGCTATGGAGAAACTGAAAAAGCTTAACCCAGAACCACATGAGTGGTTAAGTAAAATTCATGCGAAACACTGGGAAAGATCCCATTTCTATGGTAAGTATCATACTCTTTTCACTAACATATTTCATAAGTAATTTGACTAATTAATTGTTTGGTTTTATACATAGGAAGGGCATTGACTGATAGTTTGATAAATAACTTGTGTCAGGTATTTAACTCCAAGTTAGATGAGGTCAGGGACAAGCCTATAATCACTTGTTTGGAATTTATTAGGGAATACCTCAAAAAGAGAATAGTAAATTTGTAACACTATTCAAAATAGGTCAATACACAATCACATGTGATTATGCCAATCATGTAATGTGATTATGTTAGCCTAGTAATGTGGTAAGAATGTTATGTAGTTCATGATAAATTCTAATACAAATGTGAACTTTCTTTATGATACAACTCAAAGTATACGTCCATATGATTCCAAAAATATAGAGAACATCTGAATCTGACTTCGCATGAAGAAGTTATGATAAACCGAACACTATAAATCTCTATAATAAGAGGAATTTAAACTAGACTTAGAATTAGCTCTTTAAGTCTAAAATATAGTTGTATTATTCGTAAATACCTACACGTGCATATAAAGAACGTCAAAAACGGAGTTCGTATGCAAAAGTTATGACCTTCCGAAGATTTAGCTTTTAAAAACCCTAAACTAGCTAGTTCACGACGTGAGTTTTATGACACTCACGACGTGAGGAGTCATTCTGTCATAGTTCGGAATCTAGAAGCTGCGAGAGGATAGCATCCAAATTCACGACGTGAGGAGTCATGGACACCTTCCGAAGCTAGGGACGCAAATGGCAAGTCTACGGAGTGAATCAGGCAGACTCACGACGTGAGCCTTATGACACTCACGAAATGAGTGTCATAAAATCTTACTGTAAATAGGAAGATCGACCCCAGCCATTCTTCAACCTGATCTCCTTTCTCCTTTCTCATTTGCTGAAGCCATCTTGCATCCTGAGCCCCGACGATCTCGCACGCTGACCGTTTTGCTTAGATATCATAAAATCACGCTACTAGGGTGAGTTTCACGGCCCCACTTTCTAATATTTCGGTGGAAAACGGATGCTAGTCATTGTATATATGTTATTATTATGTCTATATGATAGTATATTAGTATCAACATAGATAGTTATAATAATCGGGATATAGTTATTTCGTATCTGAAAATATCCAACTATCATAACGTTGTTAACATGTTATTGTTACAGTATTATATTAATGTAGATCTTGAGTTATAATTAGGATTCTATATATATTTTTTATGCGATATAGTTCCGAAGTTATATTCGGAAGTTTTATATGTTAAGTTATATAGTATGTTGCAATTAATAGTTTTATGTCAAGATAAAAGTAGATATGTTATATGTTGTTATTATTAGTTTTATGTCAAGATAAAACTAAATATGCTGTTATTGTTAGTTTTATGTCAAGATAAAACTAGAAACGTTATATGTTGTTATTATTGGTTTTAGGTCAAGATAAAACCTGGTTTTTACTTCAAGATATAGTTGTTATACTGCCTAAATATTATGAAGTTAGGAGTAATGTTTAAAAGCATAGTCTAGTAACTTAAGGTTTTAGACATGAAAAATGCTTTTGTTGTTAGCGTTATAGGAAGCCATCAAAGTCTACATGAGTAATTGTATTCATCAACTAAGATTGGGATCTTAGCGGAAATCCTCTGAACTGTAACCGTTAATGTCGTGTGAGTGAGGAAGTCGTGTATAATTACTATACAGGCTAACCACCCCACTTGCGACTGTTAGCTACAGTCAACCAAAAACAAGTGATGAACTATCCTTTTATTTGTTATTGTTCCGGCGTCGATGAAGCGTACGGTGTTGTTTCTCATGTTAAATCATGAGTGTATTTGTTCTCATGGTAAATCATGAGTGTAGTGTTCTATCAGAGGTATTATGTCATAGCAGCGGTTACAGGCTCATGGTAGCAAATTGTAGAAACATTATACCTTGTCATATACAAGTATTAATGTTAAGTATAAGTTTTCCCCTACTTATACCTTAAGATTAAGAAATGTTTAGGTATAACACTTAATTGATAAGTATACAATTATACCTAATGTTGGAGAGTCAAAATGATACTTTCAAAACTATACTTTTGAATGTGTAAAAATGTATTATTTTACGGAGTCAAAACCTGTGGACTCACCAACTTTATGTTGACGTATTTTAAAATGCATGTGTTTTCAGGAACTTGAAAAGCAGGTATGTATTCCAACGGGAGAAGGTTTACTAGTATCTTTCTGTTCTTTAAGAAGTATATCATAGTCGGATATTATGTAATAAATACTAGGAAAAAAATTAATGTAACTTTCAATCATCAATAAAGGTATGTATTTTCTTTAAGTATTATTCAATGTATGTTATATAACTGTGATACGAAAAATGACGTTACACTACCCGGTGTTTCTGGCGACGGTCGGGGTGTGACAGATTGGTATCAGAGCTATTAACTATAGTGAACTAGTACTTTCTTAGGAAACCACTTCTATCATTTAGGACTTACTCTATAAGGTTTAGGTATATCCATTAGCATATAAATAAAAAGTATTATTAATTATACTAGTGAAGGACTACTTACGGGAGCGGTGACAAGGATAGACATGTCGATTTGGGTTGCTGGATTTTAGAACGGCTATATGCTAAAATGATCCTGCCCTTTCGACAGTCCTGACTGGTCGGAGCCTTATCAGATAGAGTTGAATTAAAAAACAATAGTAAAAGAGTGAATACAATAAATAAAGAATATAGAGTCATATATAAAGACTCAGACCCACGATGAGAATACACCTTAATACCCGGAATGGTTTTGATCTCAAGGATTTAGATCAAATATTCCAACTAAAGTTTATATGTGCATAGATCCTATCACAACTAGGTGTAGGTGCGAAACTACATTTTATTATGATCAGATCATATGAACTATTTAATTTGGGAGAAATATTTGATAGACTAAACTCTTGGTGATCCAAAATGTATAGGAATCCGACATGACACATTCATGAGAATGGATAATCATCAAGGATACAGATGCAGAAGAGGAACTTTCATTCCCTATGATGGTAGGCGATCCTTACTACCCTGTAACTCCAACCACCTTTCATCCAATACCTTCTGATGATGGAGCACCTTTACCTTCCAATGAATGGGAAGAGAGTAAACCAATGGAAGAGAGCGAACCAATGGAGGAGACATAATCGGTGGCATCATCTCTACCACCACTGAACACTCTTTATCGTCAAGTTCCAGGAGAAGCAAAGATGAAACGCACGGCACGTAAATCCATACCAATATGGAAAAAGATTAAGAAAATTCAGAAGGCAAAATCTTCAGGAAGTCATAGAGTTCAAGATGAACCTACACGGATAGCCTAAACCGTCGATATGTGGGTGGCAGAAGAAAGAGCTGCTAAGATGTATGATACTGGTCAATCATCTCCACCACATCCCCCACATTCTTATGAAGTGAACGCCTTATCACAATTGTTTGAGAAAAGTGTGAAAATTGAAGATAAGATGGAAATTGTCGAAGGGAGGGCTACTCATCTCGATGGAAGAGTGCGAAGGCTAGAAGGACAAAGGACACGAGATCAGGAATCGGTGATGGATGTCCATCATCGTATAAATTTCGCTTATAACGATATGATTACTCACAATGCAAGGATTGCAGAGTTAGACCTATACAATCAAACCACGAGAAATGAGGAGCTCACAGGCGGTCTTGAGCAGAGAACTCAAGCACTTGAAGAGCAAGTGGTTAATGTCACTGACGTGCTGGGTCATCACTTCGGTTTCTGGTAGATAAGCTAAAACTAGTGGTTGTGTAAATATAGAAAATCAAACTATTTAAGGCAAGAAGAGTAAAAGTTAATAGCAAGGATGTAGAAAACCTTGCAAATTTTGCAATGTTTATAGAAACTTTTCTCTTATAAACCTAAATAAACTGATGTAACCACTGGTAATAATATGAAGCATACGTTATAGTCATCATTATGTTGTCTATTATGTTTTACGCTGTGAATAATAACTAGAGTATTTAGTACTCGTGTACTAAATAATCAACAAAACTCATAAAAATTATTATTGTTTATAATACGAACTAAAACAAAATGCCTAGAAGGAGTAATCGGCTAACCCCTAACCGACCATCAGCACCACAACAACTACCACAATCACCGCCAGAAATAGTTTCATAACACCACTGCTTGTTGGGATCACCCTTTACTCAATCCATGTGGATAATTAGCTCTTCAAATCAAGATACTATTGGTCTGCCTTTGCTTCTCGATTTCAAGATCTTGTTGATTTTTCTTTTCTTCTTCTGATGGAACCACATAAATAGCTTTTCCTTTATTACTTGGATTATCATTCGAAGTTGGTGGAACTGAACTTGAACTCGAACCTCCAGCTCCTTCATTTATTGAGATTCCTTTTTCCATTGCTCTTGTGGTTGTTGTTATTGTAGAATTCATAGTCAATAATATGGGAAGTGAAGTAGGAATTTGAGTCGAACTCACCTTCCCAACAACAACCCCTTTCTCAGAATCTTTTGAAGAACCAACTCCTCCAAATCCTTTATCTCCCCCTTGTAACACTTGCACGACACGTGGAGCATTAGTTGGTTATCGAAGAACCAACTCAAGGATTGGATCAAGCTCCGATTTGATATTGGTCTCAAAAGTTGAAATCAATTTAGAGATAGAATCTTGAGAAAATTTTGATTGGTTCAAAATATCAACTTTCAAAATAGACTCCTTGATACTAGATAAAGATTCTTCCATATTTTCAAATATCTGAGAATCCTTTTCTGATTTTGCTTCAAGCTTGTTCAAATACTCAGTATTAAACTCAATCGACTTAGTGATAGCAATCATAATAACATCGACTTTTTTATGCAACAAAGTATAGTTTTTCTCCATCTTCTGAACTTCTTTTGACATCTCGGATTTAAGTTAAACAAATTTGAGATCTACAGATTTCTTCATTTTCATCACTTGTTCATTAAAAATGTCATGATGTTCTTTTGCAACATCACGAAGCTTTTGAATCTCATAGTCAAATTTCTTGGAAAGAACTCCTAACATTTCAGCTTGTTTCTACTCAATTCCCTCAACCAAGCTTCGAAAGTGATTTCAACAAATAATCCAACTCAATCCTAATCACAAATCCCCCCCCCCCCCCGCAGTATCTGCTTGGATTTGAAGAAGACAACTTATTTTTCAGTTGAGGACTTTGAAATGTTTACCAGACATTAGTAAGTCATCAAGAACATTTTTCTCCTCATGATCAAATTAAAGATCAATAAGGGACACCATGAACACATCGTCATTGGGTTCATCATCATGAATCATTCTCTCAACCTTGGTGGATTGAGAACAAAAGAGAGTGGTAATTGGTTCATTCATGATAGTAGAATAGGTTGATTAGATGGTCAAACTGGAACTGAAGTTGTTAAGGGTGATGAAATTGGTGGTAAAATTGTGGAGGTTTCAACTATAGAAGTTTCAATTGTAGATGAGATGATGGTTAAAGTGTGAATGATTGATGTTTTAAATGTAGAAGTAATCGAGGATTCTTTATTTTGCATTCCTTCATCAATGTTGATATTTGTGTCCTTATCAGATAAGTCCACAGGGATGTCTGGAGTTCGAGCCTCCTCCGTATTGGACTTGGTTGGCGAAACCCCGAATGATATGACATTATTCTAATAGTCTTCTGAGGGATGGATGTTGGTGGTTGATCATTCGAATTGATGTTTCTATCCATATTAGATACGCTTACATTGACATTAGGATCCCCACTCGCCTCGAAATTCAACATGAGAGGATAATCCCTTCGAGGTGATCCAAGGACATAATCTTCTATGCAAATGTCAGATCTATTGGGTTTTGAGCATTCTAACACTCCTAAGTGTACATGCAACCCTAAATACCTTGGATCTATGTTTTCTCTATTATACATGCAAATAAGAATATCCAAGGTATTATCCTAATCTAGCATACAAAACAATGAGTGTAACAAGATAGAATACATACCTCTTGATGTAGAAAGTCTTCATGAAGCTTGAGTGCCTAGCCCCAATAGTGTGGAAGCCTCAAATGGAATCACAGTTATCAAAACACTTAGAATAACTTGAGAGAGTTCTACACTTCATGAAATCGGCTAGCCCTTTTTTACTCTCACTAGTGGCCGATTTTTTGTCAAGAATAAGATCTTTATATAGTGTTACAATTAGGGTAAATCCTTAATTGTCATGGCTTTCCATTTCCTTGGATCCATGGGTTCAAATACACCATGGAGCATCCATGGACCATCCTATGGGTTTTAGCCCAACTTGATTATCCATGGAGCATTAGCCCACTATATAAGTATGGATGATTTACACAATCAACCCATATATTTAATTAGTCTTCTTTTGATCACTTAATTAATCCTAGATTAATTCTTGATCAATACTAATTAAATAATCTTATTATTCTTATTATTAATATACTAGAACTTATAATATATTAATAACCATAAGTGTCTTATTTCTCTCATTATAGTCTATCCAAGTGCATGATGGTATGCAACCCAAATGGACCATGCCGGGTCGGGTCAAGTCTTACCAATTATAGTTATGGACTTAGACATTAATCCAACAGTCTCCCACTTGGATAAGTCTAAAACTATTATTGCGTATGACTTCAGGAACCAACTGGCAATCGTAGCTCTCAAAAGCTTCTGTCGAACTCTGACCTTGTAGATGAACTCTGACCTTGTCAATGACTTGTCCATTAGATAAGGGATCATATAATCCTCTGTTCTCATGATATCAGCCGGACAAATACATGGAACAACGTCGTACTTATTGTCCAGCAGTTTGTTTCCCGATTTTCGATTTGTTTGACAAAGAACTTAATCGAACACATCAATTCAGTTCTGACCGGCCGTACATAGGTCACAACAAAATCATCGAGGGGCCCAGATATCGCTTCTATTTCTAGAAGGAACAGATAAACTTCGACTCATATGCTTGTTCTACTACTTGTTGAATTGTACACAAAGGCACGTTTTATAACATCAAGTTACTGATGCGTTTACGTGCAATCAATGCACAACCAACTCATAGGTAACAACTCATATCTCTAGGTTTGAAATTTATATGATATTACCGTCTCACGATCACTCGAGATAAATTCCATGAAGTGATACAAGTGAGCGTGGGTTTATTCCAATACTCATAACTTATGAGCACTCATGAATGTTGTAGCAACCATTGCCATGACTAAACCCATTTAGCCATCTACAAACCCGATTCATGACAGTCTTGATTCATACCTACTTCCAACATATGAACGACTGTGGAGTGTTTAAATAACTTAGTCATTCGAAAGAATAACCTAGCTATTTTGGAAGTCAAAACATGCAAAGTGAAACACAATAATAATCGAATCTAATATGGTCTCAGAACCCTTTTGAATATAAATAAAACCACCTTTTATTTATCACCATATTGATTACACATTATTCAATGTTTCAAATAATCAACTTAAGACTTGAATAAAAACAACAGTCGTCCCATGCTCCTAGCATGTACACTTTGTTTTCTAAACAATAGTTATGCCATACCCCAAGTATGCACACTATGTTTGTCTATGATCCTTACATTGTGATGTAGATCAATTGAACATGATTCCATTGATACTCATTTCGCAATCCCAAATCCTTATTGTAAATGCAAGAATTCCAAATTCATGTCATTTACTGAAATCTGTTAGATTCTAAACTTATATGCATTGATCCTCTTGAAATGATTATGCACGAAGTCAGAAAGACTTGACAACAACCATTACAGAGCATTCCAAAGGAGATCAGCTCCTTGGGAACATAACTTCCACCTATGGAGACATTTCCATAGTCCCATCTGACTATCACTTCCGAACAGGAGTTACCTCTTTTCAGAAAATGTCAATATGGTCCTGCCAAAATTAACACTATACTTCCAAATGTCCCTGAGCAACCAATCTTTGGCAAACCTCAGATTGTCCTCGACAATTGCTTAATCACTTTAGTCATATCCAGTTCTAGACTTTTCCCTTCTAAATGCCTTAAGCATTTGGAAAATTTAGAAAGGATGAATATTATAGCACGTGAAATCGATCCTATATCCGAAGCATATGGGACACGATTCATGATGTTTGACATAAAGACATGATACTAGACCAGTCTTTTGCTACAATATTTTTATTTGCCATGTTTTCAAGATTTAACTATGAAGAGGGATGCCGTAATCATAATCGAATCTTGAAAACACAATATATATAGAATTTTCTTAAGTCGAACCATTCAGACATAAAATTCTTATATATATTCTTGACTAAAGATGATTAAAATCTCAATCTATGCTTTAGAATTGAAATGAAGTATAATTTCCTCTCCCTTAATTATAGCAAAACAACTTTTCAACCCCTGCAACTTCACGAATTGAAACTTTGTTTTCTATAATTAACATTGCTAACTTGCAACACTAAACGTAATAATCATGCTCTCACTAACATGATGATTATCAGCATAACACTTATGCTCCCACTAGCTCTGACATATTTTCAGAAATCTGTTGGACTTCTGAAATTTAGATTCATACATCCTTTCTTAGATAGCTCACATGTGTGTCTAAACAATTTTCAGAACTATGAAAAGGGATGCCGTAATCATAGTCTCAATTGCTTAGGCATTTGCCATTTCTCACAAGTCCATGTTAGCGTGCCGGTTAACCACACACGCTCCACTAACGACTTTTGAAAATGCAAATAACACAATTGATATCTACGTAAAATCTACTTAGTGAAAGCGTTTCCTCACCATCATTTTCATGAATCGGAGAGAAACCTTATGACACTTAGATTTTATAGTGTATGAGTTCCTATCCATGTGAATTTGTCAAAACCATAATCACAAGATAAGGTTAGTGACAAATTCAGCCTTACATGGATTAAACTTATTCAATCTTACTTTCTTGTCACCTTGGTAGCACAAGGCCCACCAATGCTTCCAAGTTGAACTCTGATAACTCACATGCAAATCAACTTATTTGAAGTAGGTACAGAAATGAGAATTATGTCAACACGATAGGTTGCAAACCTTAAGTCGTGTGCTAGTGATAAATTACAGGTTTCACTCTTGATTAAATCTTGAAACTCTTTCAGGATCTTTAAGGCTCCCACTGTCCCTTGACATATAAGTTTCCCCAGTCAAGAACCATTCCTTGACAAAACAAATATTCAAGGGATAGTGCGGATTCTTATCAAGACTAACACTTCACACAATTGGTCTTAGTTGGTCTTTGTCTCATCCAAGACATCACAACTTACCAATCTCAAATGTACAAGAGTAGAAACATTTTACACTACATTTGATAAGTGTTTTAAACCTTACTTTATGTCACTCAATGTTACAATCTTGGAGTATGACTCTAAGAATTGTTTTGGAACGAAGTATGACTCATCTCCTTGATCTTAACCAATCCAACAATTCATGACCTCTCTTCTTAGCCATAACAATGCACTAAGACGTCCTTAGAGTATGAATTTGTGATATGGTTTCTAATCATTAAGATGATCATAAAACTGATACTAAAGTACTCTCCCATCTTTTCAGATTTGAGAAACTTTTATCCTTCTGCCTAATTTGATTCTTCTTATTCGCTCTGCCATACATTGGAACCTTTCCAATGTTACAGAATTATACTTAACCTTATAAGTATAATCATATTTACTAATCTTTAGTAAATCATGACAAATCAATCTTTGTGGTGGACCTTGACCAGTGCACACCCAGTGTACCTAATTCCTTAGTCCTTCAATTGACTCACATATACATGTGATCAAAGAATTAGTCTTAATTTTTCAAAGATGAAAATTCTCATTCATCATACAATACAACTTGTATGATTCCAAGT